GTGTCCACTGCCATACGAGATCATAGTACTAGGTGTTCTGGTAACCCGAAACCCGCTATTTACAGTAGTCGACCCTCGGAATGGACAGTGACCACACGTTTTTCGAAGTGGATGCCTTCACCGCCCGGACACAGGACGGCACTGGTATTAATGACGGGACTTTGCAATTTTTATATTGATTGGCTATATATGGCATGCACCGCCTCACCGCCTCTGAGTCCCTGGGTGGCGGTGCACCGGTACATTCACCAAGCTGTGGCTTGTCATTGATGCTGTGTTGTGAGACTGTCCTGTGTCTGTGTTGCGTTTGTCTTTGGACTCACAAAGTGCCACCTTGTAAAAGATAAAAGGACGACGGTTGCATCCATGGTCAGCGCCAGCTTCTACTATTCTTGAGCTACTCTCACCCTCATCATGTCTTACTCCTACGCGTTGACTACTGGTTCACATCTGTCCTCGGCCTCTTCAGTGGCAGCGTCGAGTACCGCACCGCGGGCTCCTCCAGACATCCTCACATACTGCTACGACTCGCGAATGGTGTACGTCGTCCCGGGGGAGACCTACGACGTAAGTCCCTTCCCTATCTTTCCACCCCCGCCACACTCGCCACCGAGCGAAACTCGCAACTGTCCGATCTCGGTCCTGACCGGTTGCTCTCTCCTCTCCTCTTCCCTTTTATCCAGAAAGCGATCGACATCGCACAAGAGTCGTTCCCGGAGCTCAAAGATTTCGACCGCGAGCGGATATGCTTCGAGGTCCGCGTCGTGCTGAGCAACCAGCACGAGCGCAGGACGGCCGAGATCGGTCGGACGGCGTGGTCCGTCGTCGTCGGCACGCTCGCACGGTTCGAAATCGTGGAGATACGCATCGCGCCTTCGCTCAAGGCCGCATCCTCGAGCTCCTCAACGTCGACCATGGAGCCTCCGCCTTATGCTTCCGAAACGGGATGGCACTCAAATGCGAAAGCGTCGCATTCGCAGACACATCTGACTCCTTATAGCAGGGGACAATACGCAAGCTCGTCACAATCCCTTGCGACTCGCGTTGCGGACCTCTTCACCCCCCGGTCATGTCGCCGCGTCTAAATACCGCTTTCTCTGAAGTGCAACTTAATCCTTTTATCATCTCCCTGACTGTCGTCTGTATATTTTTCCTACCCGGTGCCCATCGCCTTGGCCTTAATTTTACCATACCCACAAACACCCATGTTCATTAAACCATTTTTGTTGTTGTATCTGAGCAGACCCGTATCCCGCGATTTGACATCCAAATCTGATAAACAAATTCACTCATCGAACGATACGCCGCGAGTGTGATATTAGGTTCATGACAGGGGATAGGGATAGGTAGGCTAGAGAAGTAGGCGACCAGGGAAGGGAGTCGATGCTAGAGGCCACGACTGTGCACCGTGACACACCAGCAATCCGTGGGGTTGTTCTCAATTCAAAGACATCGCTTTGTGGCGTATTGAGTTGGAAGTATGGCCATTGACCGGATATTGACCAGCTCGGTATTTACGGCAGTCTCAAGGCCCGTCATCCAATACTGCGTTGAGATACTATAAACACCTCAAAGCACCGGCGCAGATTCTCATGCATCAGGTCCATGGTTTATCCACCATAGTCACTTGTAATCTCCTCGTACTAGTAACTTAGTGGACGTGCAAGGGTGGTGGCGGTGCAAGTACTCACGCTTTTCCATATTTATCCCGTAACTGCAGAATGCGACGATAACCTCCAATGATGCTTCCCGGGACGGAATCCGATTCATGCTATCTTGAGTACTCGGGTCTGCACCATGCTCAAGAAGGAAGCGGGTAACACACATCATGATGGCCCCCTCGTGGTGCCATGTGTAGAGGAGTGCGTCGACCCTCGGCCTAAGCTGTCGCATCTGTGCCATGCCCGAGAAGGACGCAAGTGGTTCTGACAAGACCCCCTCGCGATGCCACGTGAAGCGGAGTCCATCTGTGCTCGTCTTGGGCTCCCGCATCCGCGCCGCGCTTAAAAGGAGGCCCTGAGCGAGTTCCACACCATCCTTGTCCTGCGTTATCACAGCCGCGCCACGCTCGAGAAGGACCCTTGGTCAGCCACTTTCTTGCGACACCACGCTGTGCAAGTGGGGGCTTGTCTTGCGCTGTCCTATCAACGCCGCCCCCAAGGAGGACCTGAGCGAGTTGCACACGTCCGTATCGCAACACCACCTCGTGCAGTGGAATCCCCCAAATTTTGTACTGTGCTGTTGCATCGGTGCGCCAGCCTCGAGGAAGACCAGAGCGAGTTCCACAACTTCAGTTCGCATCGCGCAGTGCGGGAGTCCTCCCATGCTTATCCTGCGCTGTCGCATATAGTTGGGAAACAACCTCGGGGACATACAGTCGGACGAGCGGGAGTGTTCAGCGATGATGAACTTGGATGAACGATTGGGCATCTTTGTTAAAACGCGCCACAGTAGTACAGAGTCGTTGGTGCGGCACGGCAACAGTTCAGTTGGATCGTCCGACCAGTAACAGAACCAATACCCGAGACAGTGCTCACCACGACCATCTGTGCGAAGGATGCTGGCCGTCCGAGTCGTCAAATGGAGGACCCGATATTCTGTGCAAGGCGATGTTTGTTCATCACTCGTCGATTCAGGAGGTGAACGAATCGTCATGTTTTCATACAAGTTAACAGCAGAACGATGGGCCCGCTGATGGAATGGAGGCAGGAAACAGAAGTTGCAAAGAGTGGCACAGCTGGAAGGTGGGATCCGGCAGTGCTCGGCGCCTCAGTGCAGAACACCGCCACTAGTAACTTACTGCTGTATCGCATCATCGGTGGCCGGCGACAGACACAGGGACGGACGCGACCCCGTTTTACCGGTCCTCGAACGGTCAGACGTGGGCTGCGTCGACATGCTTTCGTCGTCTCTCCCACTCCCACTCAAACTGTGGTCACCCTGACCTTTGACTTTGAATCGTCATCCCGGGCTTTAATCTACGATATGATGACTTCGTTTCACTTTTCTTCCTTGGAAAATGACTGTACTGTCTTCCATCTGGCAGCTTTGACTTGCGATACCAACTGAGTCCAATTTTCAAAATCCTCCGTTGTATTCGATACAGCGTTGTGCCTCGATCCGATAACGAATGCCTTACTCGTCAAACGATATGCCACAATAAAAAATCATTGTTCCTGGCGAATCTGGCGGAGGTGAACGGGTTAAGCAACTATGTTCGACTGTGCCTCAAGAGTGCTTTGCTACGGAAGGTCGCGTTGTATTGCAGAAGGTTGTTGATATCCCGGACCCAGTCGTCTTCCTTTCCGGGACCAGCACCTTCTCCCTGTGCATCCAAAGCAGGGTCTGAAATCGAAGACCTGTTGATGCAGGGGATAGGGTGCAACGATGCGCGGACTGTCACCGATTCTCCGGGGTTCAAGATATGGGAGACTTGTCCGTCCATGGACACGCCTGCGGGTGCACGGCTGCGATCACCGATCTACAAGTGTCCGTCAACGTCGTGGACCGGTAAAGGGAGCCGTAAAATGGTCGGCAAAACACGCACTCGAAGAGTAATGGAGGAAGAGGCCGGGAAAACTAGGGGGCGAAGGATAGACTTCGGGGGCAAATGGGGGTAAGGACGAGAGCGCTCAACGATGGGTGAACGATCGGGCCACCCGCGGACAGGGAATATGCTGTAGAGCCCGTCGGCGTGGAAACAATCAAACCGTCCGACTAGCGACAGGATTACAGTGCGTCAATACCCTTTAGATTCCCGGACGATGCTCACCACAGCCTCTGTGAGATGCTGACCGTCGACGAATGCATCAATCGTGTTTAGATGAGGACTTGACCCTCGGTGCAAAGCGACCTCGTTCATGACTTGCCAGTCTGGGAGGCGTATGGGTCAACGCTTCGGTACGAAACGTACATACGAATACCTTCGCCCTCATTGCCAATACTGTTCCCGTCCTATCAGAGAATGCGCAAGACAGGCGCATCCGGTATAACACTGTGGCTTTCCCCTGAAATACGCTCTCCAGTGCCTTCGAAAAGTCATCCACATCTGCATCAAGTTATCCGATCATTTGTCCATATATAAGTTCCACTGGAGAAATGGGCACGCTCACGGAACGGAAGGAGAAAACCAAGGGTGCCCATTGAGAAGCTGAGCACAGGTGGTACAGCTCCGACCTTGAACAACGATGAGGCGTGGAGAATCGTGCCATCGCCTCCAAGTGTGATGACCAAGTCAATTTTTTCAGCACCTTGCCCTGTGAAGGACAGTTATGAGAGTATTCAGGTCGAATGGGACAATGGCTGTACCAGGACGCCACACTTGCACGCCTTGCGGTATGTCCGGCCTGTCTTCATGGAAGGCCTTTACATCGGGGTAGTTAGATCGAAGATGGCTGATTGCTTTTGCGTCAGCGGTCTCGTGCCAGTGAAGAGAAGAATTCTCACTTGAGGAAGGAATCAATGGTGTCGATAACCGGTTTTGTGCGCAGCTTGTTGACGATAAGGATAGACTTGACTTGCTCTGTGTTTGTTCTGTCTTGATGAATAAGTTGGCTACGGCTCGACTGTCATCAACGTGCGAACTTCTAGACGTACGTGACAGAGGGAAGCGGTTGGGTGGAGAAGTGGTTTAAGCGAGCGGGAAAAGGTGTTGACAAAGACCACGACCGTGCACGGCAGCGATGCCCATGAAGTTGAAGAACCGAAGTTCGCATGTTCTGAGTTTTGAGGCATCGTTTCAAGATTGGACTCATGGTCACGGTTCCGTTCAGTTGGTTGTGTCCGTCGCACACAGGGCACACGGCAACGGAACGGATGACTTATTTGCAACGGGAGCCCGGTCCGTGATCCAAGATAGTTTATTACATAGACAACCAGGTACCATAAATGGTCCCTGGGTCCCTGGACTGTTGCATCCCAGGAGGAGTTCTGTAGTATTGTGACACAGTGTCATGCAGTTGCAGTCTGGTGAAGATGTAAAACCTAAGAGATAAACCCATGGCTAGGTAGCTCAATAGGTAGAGCACCTGGTATATATTCAGGAATCAGGAGGCCTGGGTTCAGCCCCCAGTCTGGCCAGTGCATAGGCTTCAACAAGTGCTTTCTGCTGAAGTTCCTGAGGATTACATCCACTTTGCTAGGAGCTCAGGCTATGAGGAGGCTCAGAGCTCTGTTGACAAGGACACTACCATCTCCCTGACCACCACTGTGTCAACCAAGCCCACACTACTTTACCATATGGCAAGGAGCAGTGGTCTCCACTGAGTGGACCTGAGGCCCAGTGCCATTTGAAGGAGCTGCGCGAGGTGTTCACACACCCAATTGCAAAGGTCTGGAATGATGACTTGGGCTGGAAGGTTGTCGAGGTTTTGGATGCTCACACAGTCAGTTAATATCCACCATATCTTAGAGTTTGCTGACTGGGATTTTTAGATCCACTTTACAATGATAGATGTCATTCGTTTCAAGATGGTCGAGGTTGACGAAGCGCCCGAGGAGGAAGAAGATGCTGAGGGTGAAGAAGAGGCCCAAGAGGGTGAGGACTCGGATGAAGAATCAGTCGAGGCTAAGAAATCAGTCGTTGGTCATGTCACCATTTGGATTGGTGTTTTCCCCGAGTCCACCTCTGCCACAGCTGCCCACGACGCGGCCCAGGACGTCCTAGCGCTTCTCAGGGACTACCAGATCATTGACGTCGACATTGACTTCCGCGAGTCTTTCTACACGCGTGAGGTCGATCCTCAGCTTCTCGATCCTCAGCTTCTTGAACCTGTTGATGACCTGGACCCACTTGTTGATGTCCTTAGTCCCCTCACTCCTGCCCTTGGTCTTTGCATCTCCACCACCAGGGCCAGGCCCGACGCTCAGGGGACGATGGCCCTCTACCTCGCCGAAGGTGGTCGCAGGCCGATAACCTCTTGGGCCTTTCGTGCCGTCATGTCCTAATCGGATCGAAGGAAGCAAACATCGACTACGTTCGCCACCCCAGTGGGCCTAGTAGAGACGTCCTCCTGCTCGGTAAGAGAGCCTTCACCAACCTCGTTGATTCGATCAAACTCAGGATCGGACGACACGGCATCGCGGCCAAGCGCTGGAGGAAGCAGATTGAAGGATTCGAGAAGAGGGAGAAAGGCACAAGCACTGTCGACGTTGAGAAGGCTAAGGCAGCCCGGATCGAGACTCTGGGGTTGCTGGACAGGGCGGAGAAGGCGATAAAGGAACTTGGAGCATTGCTCTATCAGGTCAATAAGGAGTGGAAAAAACTCGACAACCGCGTCCTTGGGCACGTTCTCTGCTCGCCAGCCATCAGTCTAGGCGTCGGTGAGCAACGTTTCACGGAGGACTGGGGAATTTTCCAGGTCAACCGGGCCAAGCTCGGTGATGGCTTCCAGGGCAATAAGATGGACCTCGGTGCGTTTTGACTATCTGACTGAGACCAACTTCTTACTAACCTGAATGTTATTTATATCTAGGAACGAAGCTAACACCCGACGAGTTCACGGTCAAATGTTTCCCCCGCGGAGATGCCAACTGGGAGTTCGAATATCCCGAAGATCGTCTGCTTCCACTTATGGGGGTTATTACTGACGACTTGATGCACAACCCCGATATGTGGGACTCAGACGACGAGCCGTGCTTGTTGGTCGTCAAGACTGGCAATGCCACTGACACCACCATCGGCCGCGCGAACGGCGTCTTCTCCATCGTTCGCGACTACTTCAACGACATGTCGATCAATCAGACCTCCATGGAGTGGGGGATAATCAACTACGACAGCAAGTCGGAAGTGTTTTCGGAACCTGGGGATTCGGGCGCCATAATTGCCGACATCCGTGGCCGTATCGGGGGCCTGCTTACCGGGGGTTGTCATAAGTTGAAGTCTTCCGATATGACCTACGCCACGCCATTCTGGTGGCTCCTCGAGCGTATTAAGGCCAAAGGCTTTCCCAACGCGCACCTCGGCGTCGTCGCCTAGGCATCTCGACATCGACAACGACATCGAAGACCGTTCTGCGACTTCTCTTTCTTCTGCTCTCCTTTATCTATTGGTTGGTTGTTAGTGTGGGCGAGTGCATGGGCCGGTGGGTTGTTGTTTAGGTTCATCTTTATTTTTCGTCTCGTTTTTTTGTACTTACAACTCTCGATCTTGGTAGCCTTAGAATATTGGACTCGTCGTTTAGGTTCGTCTCGTTTCTTTTCTCTCCCCCCTCGCGCAACTGACGGCTTGACGTCCAGGTTCCATACGACTTGACATGGTTCGCTGGACTGTTGGACACGCTCGCCACCTTCGAGCGGTATCTGGTAGGCATATGCAGGTGTCGACTCGACACGTCTTTACTGTAGCTATAGCTTCTCGTTCTTCGGACACTCGCAATTTCACCGTGTATCAGTATCATTTATTTCCCTCCACTCGTCTATGCCCATCGTTCGTCTATCTTCCCCCGTCTATCCCCGCTCGCTCGTCTATCCCCAGTTGTGTAGTCTATCCCCTCGTATATTGTTTCTCCCCACTCGTAACTTATGTTAGATAAACATTATTGAGTTTGCAGTATAAACCGCGCGTGATGAAATGAAGTTCGATATCTAGGTAAGGTTGCTTACTAGTGCTCTAATGCCAGCTGGCTTTCTTCTCTGCCACTTCGCCGTCGCGACTCGATTATTTCCTTTTATACTTGAGACCCTACTTGGTAACTTCTTACGACTCTCTTACGAGATTACACCTACTAGTATGTAAGTGCCTTCGTCTGCCTTGATTCGGTGGTGATGTTGACTCTGACGATTTTGCCTCCTAGGTCCCAGCATTATCGTCTCGTGCAAAGATATACGTCGTCCAACGATGCGCAAGACGATGACCTACACAACGGCACGTCTCTTCAGGTTCGACAACTAGTTCGGCACCTTCTCCACTAAACACGACACTCTCCAGTCAGGCTCTCTATGACCATGAATGCCTCGATGGTGTCGGACATGCTGATGGTCTCCTCAATAACGGCGTTGGCGCTACGTTTATCTTGGACGTTACGAGTCAATTTTGTAGGAGCTGATTCTAGCGGTAACGTCCTCTAGTCCTGCTAATACAGACACGAACGCTGATAGAAGAAGACTTCGTGGCCCACAACGAGGATGTACGAGACGTCCCCATACGCTGTTGAGATCCTCCACCATCTCCTCCACTTCGTCCAAGAGTCCTTGAGCCTTCCCCTACCTTTCCTTCTAGCTTTGCTCGTACGACCTCACGACTTGGAATGCACGAAGTACTTAGGCTACCATACTCAGCCGGCCGACGAATGGGGTGTCGAGTCCTTAGCAACTGCCAGTGTAGGACGACCTAGTACGCCCAACGACCGTGACGTCGACTGACGATATTCCTTGACTATGTTACGGGAGATCCGAGTTATGTGTACGTGTCTAACAACGTTTATTTCTCTCAACGTAACGTTAATCACTGCAACAATGAAGCATATTCCTGACTCAGTACTAGTTCATACGATGGGCACGAGCGAAACAGTAGGACAACTTAAACGAGACTGGCTTGACGTCCTGCCAGAGGTCGTGTTGTTAACAAATTATCACAAAGCTTCACCTGCGAGGATTTCTGTACGAGCCCTCCTTTTCGATACCGCTACTGACTGTTATTAGCTCATTGGCCCATGGCCCCATGCTACGTTCAGTAATGTTGCCCTTTTTTTTCAATCCATCATGCGTCTTGGGGTGCAGAACCCCATGTGGCACTTTGCAGCTGTGCGTGGAAATCAAGTGCACAATATCTTGACGATTATTTCGATCATGGCGGGCGTAGGGGGATTGTTGTATAAATCTCGAGGCGCCTGAGAAAGTTCCCGATGGATTCGAATAGATCTCTGGATTCACGGAAATTCCGCGCCTGTCTTGAAGGACGCCGGTGATGAGCGCGAGCGAGTGGCAACCCCCGAGTTGAAACCCCCGAGTTGAACTGCAGGCGGATGTCGGTTGAGGTTTACTTTCTATACATTCCGAGTCGTCTTTTTTTCGTACTCCAGCGCTGAGTCGGTGAAGGAGAGACGTACGACCCATGAAGAGGCAAGAAGCCACATTACGAATCGATATGGGGCAATTGAAGGACACCAGGTGACCCGCTCACAGGCAGGTTGAGAGAGACGCCGGACAGTCTTTAGGTCGACGACGTTCGACGCTGGCAGCCTGAGATGCAAAAGCACCATCGCATGCATGCGCAGATGTGTCGCGAATAGTCACGTGATTACCCACGCGTGTCTTACATAATCGATCAGCGCGTCCATGAACATGGAAATGAATTGACCAGACCACCGACCACCAGACCAGTCCCACCCAGCTTCATCGTCTTCATCTCTCATCGTGTCGCGCTCTCACGTCTCGCAGATCCTCACCGACCTTACCTCTCCTGCGGGTCACCGTGATGTCGGATTCCAAGCGGACACGTTCACAACTCACGCTGCCAGAAGAATTCCAAGACGTTCACTTTGGAGTCTCCCCGCTGAGGGCCGCAAGGCAGGAGAGAAAGAGACATCTACAGACGCACTCCCCTCCCGGGTCCTCTCAGTCACCTGCTCCAGACGCCCGAGTTCCCGCGGATGCGTCCGACGACGAACTGTTGCTCTCTCCTCCCAAGTTACGAACTCCGAAACGCCCTCCCTTATCCGAACAGCCAGGGCCTTCTCCAGAGATCGACCCTGAAAGACAATGTAAACGGCTTAAGCAGGACCACGATGACGGTGCGTACCTTGAGTGAGCATATCCAACTGTGCTTTGCCAACCCCTACACAGAGAGGTCTCACGTCGCTGCCACCGAGACAAGGCCGCCTAGCGGCCCGTTTGATTTCTCTGCTATCGACCCGAAACTACTACTCCCCTCCTCGGACCTTCTACAGCCGGTGACGTCTCCGAAACCTCGCGCGCATACTGTCCCATTAGCCTCGCCTACCATCCGCCGCAGAGATCTTGGGCAACTTATGCCCTCATTTGGGAAGGCGCCCATAGTACCTCCCGTGCGGGATGTTTTACGCTTCTCCAGTTTGCCGCGCTCTCTCGAGCCCTTAACTGAAAGCATGGATGTCGACATC